CCGGGAGCTTTCTGGAAATGTTGGCATGCGGAACACCTCCGGGCAAGGTCTGCACAGACCCGGGACATCGTAGGCCAGAAGTAGCCCTGGATTATTAGCCTTCGGGACATGGAGAAGGGCCCCTGGTGAGCTGAGCAAGTGCCACTGTGTACTTCCTCCATCGCCACTTCGGCTTCATCTTGATGAAGGCACCGAAGTAGCATCCCGTTGTAGGACCTTTTGTAAAGCCTCCCGTCCTCGATAAGGTAGCTGGGAGCCCTCAACTTTGCCAGCTTGGCGCGGGCCTCGTCCTCGGGCAGTTGCCCTGTGGTGATGAAGGCAACAATGTCCGAGACCCAGTCCTCCTGTCTTTGCTGTATATTCATGACGGGGCTAGCATGTATGTTGGAGAGGCTGAGTTCTTCCACTTTGGCAATCTTGGAGATATGCTCAGGGGATTCTGCCGAGAGCTTTGATAAAATGTCGGCCTCGGAGTTTTGAGCCCTCGGTATTTGAGTAAGAGAGTGTGCCTCAAATACCTTAAGCAATTCCTTGGCCGCCTCTTTGTATTGCTTCATTCTCCCTTCCTTGGCTTCGTACTCCCCGGAGATTTGGCCGACGACTAACTTGGAGTCGCACTTAACGTGGATTTGTCGGGCCTTCATGTTAGCTGCCAGTCGAAGGCCACAGAGGAGAGCCTCGTACTCGGCTTCATTGTTGGAGACTTTGAAGGAGAAACGGACTGCATAATAGGCCCGGAAGCCCTCGGGTGAGATGAGCACTACCCCTCCTCCGCATGCCTTGATGGGATCCGTGTAGTCCACGCACATGCGGAATGAGGGCGGTTTCTGTGCGAGGACTACGTTCACCAACCATGAGGGGTATTTCACCTCCTTGATGTGCTTAATAGAAAGAAGCATGGCGACCTCTTTCTTCACAAATTCCCTTCTCTCGGCCGAGAAGGGTCTCCTCCGCTGTTGTACTGGTTTGGCCGAGGGGTCCACCGAGAGGCGGTGGGTGATGACCCTTCAGCTGATCCCCGGCATGTCCTCCGGCCCCCATGCAAAAACAATGGAGTAGGCGCGGAGGGCGCTGATGATGTCGGTCTTCAAGTCTTCGGGGAGCTTGGTTCCAATCTTCACGACTCTCTCCAGCTTGGCCGGATCGAGCGCGAAGTCTTCTACCTCCTCGGCTGGTTCAGCCCTCGGCCTCCTTTCTTCTGCTTCCACAGTTCTGGTGATGGTGTCAACGCGGAACTCCGTCTTGCTAACCTTCTTCGTAACTTGAAGGTAGCAAGCGCGGGCAAGTTTTTGGTTCCCCCTTGAGTAACCGATTCCCCCCTCGGCTGGGAACTTCAGGCAAAGATGCCTCCTGGAGATGACGGCTTCAAGGTCCTCGAGGGCTGGCCGGCCGAGGATGATGTTGTGGGCGCAGTCGATGTTGACGACGACGAACTCCACTTCGAGCTTGGCTCTATGGAGGCCGTCGCCAAAGATGACCGAGAGGGTTATGACCCCCTCGGAATCAATGGTGTCGCCGGTGAAGCCGGCGAGAGGGGTCTTGATGGACCGAAGGGACCCCCTCTCCAGATGCAGCTCTCTGAAGGTGCTGAGGTACATTGTATTGATGGAGCTTCCCGTGTCAATGTAAGTTCTGTGGATAATGGTGTCGTTGATCTCTGTGCGGATGACGAGGGCATCCCTGTGGGGGGAGGATACCGGGGGGAGATCAGCGTTGGTGAAGATAATGGGTTCCTCCCTCAACCGCTTTACTGGGGGCATATGAGTGACTTCCCCCACGTAAAGTGACTGAGCCCACTTCTTTCGTTGACTTGTGGAGTCACCCCCGGTATTTCCCCCCGTAATCATGAGGATATGGCGTTTCTTTTCTTGATACCGGGGGTACTCCTCCTCCTCTTCCTCCAGATTTCCAATCTCCTTCTTCTTGCCGAGGGGGATGGTGTTGGGGTTGACCCATGCATTCCCTCTCGCAGTTTGCCCTCGGGGTGGCCCCTGATGAGGGGGGGGCTGTTGCTGAGGGCCCTAGAAAAACTGGGACAGATGGCCCGCTTGTATCAATTTCTCGATGGCCGTCTTCAGTTGATGGCAATCATCGGTCCTGTGCCCCTGATGTCGGTGGAAACGACAGTAGGGGTAGTTTGGATTGATGGCAAATACTTCCGAGGGTGCGCGTGAATCTCGCTCCACGAGGCCCCTCTCCTCGGCAAAATCCAGGATGACGCTGACGGGGTGCGTCAACGGTGTCCGAGGGTGCTCCAGGAGGACAGGCTGTGCCCAAGCCCTCGGGTTCCCCTTGTAGCCTCCCCCGGGCTTGGCTTGGCCATGCCGGGGGCGATCACCGGCGGGGGCAGAATCCCTGAGATGATTGCGGGGAGCCCCCGGCCCCCGGCTACCTTTGTCTTCCGGCCGAGGGCGCTGTTGATCTGGGACATGGTGGTGTTTCTCCATCTCCTCGGCCTCGGCGTATCGGTCCCCCCGCTGTAGGGCCCTTATATAATCACGGGGGGGTTCGATGATGAGGCTCCTTGAGAAGTTCCCGGGGCGGAGTACTGTTTGGAGGAGGGCCAGGAGGGTCCCGTCATCAGCGCCATCAACTTTATCAGCCCCCGTCCTCCAGCACTCCAGGAAGTTCCGAAGGGTCTCTTCCTTCTTCTGCCTCACTGTTAGCAAGTGGGAGAAGTGTTTTCTTGTGCGGCGCCTTCCCGCAATATGCGTCAAGAATCGTTGGGCGAGTTCTTTCCATGAGTCAATACAGCCCTCGGGCAATCGGTTGAACAATTCGTAAGCTGGCCCCTCTAGGGTAGAGAGGAACCAGCGGCACAGATATTCATCCGATGCCCCCACCATCATCATGCTGTTTTGATACCTGCTGTAGTGCTCTTGGGGGTCAGTCTTTCCATCATAGGGCTTGATGAGCTGCCCTCGGTATTTCTCCGGGATCCGGGCCGCCAATACCCTTGGGGTAAATGGCGTCCGGGTACGGAGCTGTATGGTGGGTTCCCCGGAGCCCTCGGCTATCTTCTTCTGCATTTCTTCCATCTTCGCCATCATCGCCTCATACTTGAGGTCTGTATGAGGGGCGGAAGTGGTGGCATGGGCTTTGGTGGCCTCCATCTCGTTAAGCCGGCGCTGGAGGGCCGCAATGATTTCGTCCTGGGGGTCCTTCTGGAGGGCCTCCGCCCCTTGCGAATGGACCCGGGCCGAGTGGGCTTGATTAATTTGATGGCGTGCGTCGTCGGCATGGAGAGGTGCCTTGCCCTTGTCCTGAGGGGGACGTCTTTCATTGGCCCTGGAAACGGACCCACCACTTTCCTGAGGCCTTTGGAACGCCCTCCCCCCGAGGTGGTCTTGGACCCCTCAGCGGTCCGGGGGTGCTCCTTATTCACGTCGTGGCGGTCCCGGGACTGGACTTCCTGGGAGGCCGTATCTTGGGCCACGACCCCCTCGGAGTTCCCCATCTGGAGGACCGGGTTACCTAGGGGTCGTGGATGAGGGGGAGGCAGAATATTCTCCCCAACCTGAGGCTGGTGGGGAACCAAAGTGCCGAAGGCACCCAGGTTCTGAGTGAGCGTCTGGATGAAGGCGGAGAGCGCCGATTGAACGTTGATGGTGATGACCGGGGGGCTAATTTGATTTTCGCTCCAGTCCTTTTTCTTGGCCTCGATGCCGAGGCGGGCATCAGGGGCATTTTGCTGAATCTGTTGGCGTAGGTCGACAGCCGTCTGGTCCATCCCGGCGATGACGCCGCCCCCGGGAGCCCTGTTGGAGGCTTCGGGGACGTCGACCTCACCGAGGGCCAGGTTCCTGTCCTCTACATTCTTAGAGTTGGCACGAGTTGTTCTCACCATTTTAGATGAATGTTTTTGTGTTTGGTCGAGGGGGAGGGTTTCTTACTTGATTGTTCGACCTCTCAACGAGAGCACCAAATGATGGATAGTGTACCCGGGGGGTAGCTTATCCGAGGGGTTATTACGGGGAATAATAAGAGAGAAGTTAGAGCAAGTAAGTATAGAGAGAGAAAGTATATTGTAAAGAGTGGAGCGTTTTCAGCGTGATTACAAATGGGGAAATGGAGTGCTATTTATAGTAGTAATAAATGCCGGACAGGGACACGTGTCAAGCGTCCATTGGCCGAGAGGTCACCTCAACTGGTTGGCGCTGGCAACCGCATGTGGCCGCATTTAATGCGACTGTTGGATGGGACGTTGTACAGGGTATGATGATCTGTACGCATGTGGCGCGGATATCATGTCGGGAGAGGTGCCCTCGGCTATAGAGGACTAGCCGAGGGCTCTGAGTATCGGGGACCCCCTTGGTGCCGAGGGCTCCAGGTGCCGAGGGCTACTGATTTTCGCCGTTTTCCCGAGCCATCTTGTTTTGCTGTCTTGGCCCTCCTGTGAGAGTTAGAGCCTTCGGCCAGGGGGCCGAAGGCACCCCTGGTGCGCATTGTGGGCTGCTTGGTACTCTGGGTGCTGTGATTTGGGCCTGTCGTGCTTTCTGGGCCTGTTGGGCCTTTATTGGAGCAGTAGGAGTCTGTGGGCCGGGGGTTCCCGGACCATATACTCCATCAATACTTATTTTATGTGGATTAATAAATTTTTGTATTAAATTGGCAAAGAAAAAGATTAATTCAGATATAATTGAATTAGTTCAAGATAAAGATAAGTAAAAAACCACAAATAATTAGATATAACTCACACATAATTACATGTAACTCGTGCATAAAAATATGTAACTCGTGTATAACAAGATGTAATTCACACATAACAAGATGTAACTCACACATAATTACATGTAACTCACGTATAAAAGTATGTAACTCGTGTATAGCAAGATGTAACTCACACATAACAAGATATAACTCACACATAATAATTTGTAACTGAAATATAAAATAATGTAACTTCGTATATTATCAATTGTAACTACAAGCTAGAAGCAAAATAAACAAACTCAATATCTTCTTGTATCACCCTGCACCCTTTCCACTCCTTCCGGCTAATGACATGCAGCGGAGTATACCCGCCAAAACCCAAGCCTCCTCCTCATCATTTCTGAATCTGCAGTTGTCAAAACGTTTTTTTTCTTCTCCTCATTATTTTTCCACCAAACCCATTTACTATCTCAAAGTTTGCACTCTTCCCACGCTAAACCTTTTCTCTCTCCAATTTCTGTGCATTTCTTCATATCCGGGAGGAGGGAGAACTATGGACACGGATCAAGATGGGTTGAAAACTTGCGTTGTTTTGGGAGGGCGAGGTTTCGTTGGCCGATCGCTGGTCGGAAGGCTGTTGCGTCTCGGCAAATGGATCGTCCGAGTTGCGGATTCATCTGTATCCCTCGACCTCGACCACGCCGAGTTTGAAGCTGACTCGCTTCTCTCCCAAGCCCTCGCCTCCGGCCGTGCCTCTTACCATCGCGTCGATCTTCGCGATAAATCACAGATCATCAAAGGTACATCCACGAGGCGCAATGCAGGGCATTTAAGTTGTGTTGCATATATCAATTTTTGTCTACATTCTTCTCTAAGGGCGTCGCTGTGAGCGTCTTACAGTTGATCCTCCCGTTAGTTTTGTATTTTGTTTATTTTGTCACATAAACAAACAATTATTGATAAAATTCTTTGAAAGTAATCTCTGTTTAAGTTTTGATTAAGTTTTGATGGTGAACGTTTTTGGTTTATTTTTCATTTGGTCCGCTACAAGCTGGTTTTGGCTCTTTTTTAGATTGTCAAGGAAAATGAATATAAATGAGAAAGGTGATCTATTAACGCCTATCCTTCAACAAATATTAAGTGTATTATGTTTCATCTTGGGGAATGCAAGGTTTAAAGTAGTGTGGAGGCTTTTTATATGCAGATTAATTTCTACACCTCTCTACTGCTTCCCTGCAACTTTGTTTAAACTGTATTGATCTGGATGATTATATTCATGATATTCATTCATCATATGCAGCTATTGAAGGTGTGACAGTTGTTTTCTGTATGGATATTATGGATTCACACCCTCCTGATTTGTTCTTCTGCTATGCAGTCATCGTTCAAGGTGATTTATGTTTGTTTAATGAGATCGTATAAACTATTGTGATCCTATGTATTTGGGTATTCTAAATGATTCTAAGCCATAGTAGAGTTGTTCGTCATTCAGGAGTGAAAAATGTCATCCGGGCATGTCAGGATTGTAAAGTCAAACAACTTATATACAACAGTTGTGCTGATGTTGTGTTCGAAAAGGGACGTGATATTGAAAATGGTGAAGAGTCCGTGCCTTATGCCGGTAAAGTACGTCCCTGACTCTTTATCGCCCATCTTTGACATTTAACTTGCTCACATTAATTGTTGTTCATTCCTTCAAATCCAATTTTACTCTGTTTTTGATTGCATGTTGCAGTTTGAGAACATGTTGACTGATCTTAAGGCTCAAGCTGAAGCTCTTGTCTTAAATGCTAACAATGTTGATGGCCTTCTTACATGTTCACTTCGTCCTAGCTATGTTTTTGGACCAGGCGATAAAAAGCTTTTGCCAATGATTGTGAAGATGGCAAAGTCATGTTGGGTTAAGGTTTGGACGCCACTCCTCTATTTTTTTAATCATCAATCAATGCTTTATTTCTCTAATGAAAACCCTCTTTCTTATCTCTGGACTTATCCATGTAGCTGGTTATACTCTAAAGTCTAAACGCTACATGCTATGCATTTTGTTCATTAAATCTTTTAGAATAAGTAATAGAAATTCTCATTTCAGTTTATTATAGGGAGTGGCAATAATGTATTGGACTTCACCTATGTGGAAAATCTAGCCCATGCCCATATCTGTGCTGAAGAAGCTCTAAATTCTAAGATGACTCTTGTAGCTGGCAAGGTGCTGACTTGAAATGTTACATTATTGTGTTTCGTTCTCAAATCATAGACATCTGTCTGTATAGATGTTGCAACTTATGTTTTGTAGGCCTTCTTCATCAATAATCTTGAGCCCATGAAATTCTCATCATTTGCATCTCTGGTCCTGGAGGGATTGGGGTATCAAAGGTAAGGCAACCTAGATTGCTCTCAAGTTCATTTGTCTTCTGATTATTGCAGACAAGATTCATTGAGAAATGAGATAGACCAAGGCAGGGTGATCCAATAAAACACATGCTCACATGTTTCAATTATGTGCATGGTATTGACTATCATCACTTCCCTTACAAACACAGCCCCCCATATATCCACTGGTAAAGGATTTTAACTATTTGAGAATGGAAAGTAGTATTAAGATACTACTATTATCATCCTCATTTTTTGTAAAATCATATTTCCAGAAGGCACGATTGTCATTTTCAAGATCTTTTGTTTTTAAAAGTAATAACCTTCAGGAAAGAAGGCACGATTACCATCTGATTTGTGCAAAAAGAATCAAACTAAACTTTGTCCTAAGAGATCAAACAAGTTTACCAGTGACAACATTCCGTTATTGCAATACAAGTCTTTTTTGTCTTAGCGTTGGTCATTGGTGATGGGTCTTACTGTCCTGCCTTTACTCATCGTTATTGTCACCTTAATCCTAACTGCATTGGGGCCAGTGGAATGAATTTCTAGTGTGAAGTGTCAAATATTATTTAAAACTGTTTATGTATTTGGTTTTCATTCTTTACTTGATTGAAATACTTAAAATGGTGGTCAGTATCTTTTGAATTAAAAAATAACTTTTAGTGTTAGCCTTTTAGGTAAAAGCAAACTTGTGCTGAACTGAGTTCAATTTAATTTAAATCCAAAGTATTATTGACCATCTATTCGGTTCTTTCTATACACAGCTGCCTCTCCCTTTCTCATATTCGAGTTGGAAAGGTGGTTCTCCATCATATTTATTTCTTGGATTAGTAATACTCCTCAGGTCATTTTGTGGTATACTGGCACTTGTCCCTGAAAGTGCATTCTTTTTCTTATTGCAGGCCAATGTTTAAGCTTCCGTCTAGTATGGTTGAATACATTCTTTCTGTTGTAAAAAGAATCCATTCAAAGATAAACAGTGGGAAGCTTGATGACTATGTGTCAGTTTACAATTTTTTTGACTTAGCCTTGTGCAGCAGGACATTTAACTGCTCTGCATCACAGAAGTATTTAAGATACTCACGAATTGTTCCAATGGAAGTAAGTTTTAAAAACTTTTTTGCGCTTCTGGTTTCATTCTTTTATTTTTAATATTATTCGGTATTAAATTTCCAGGCGTATGTACTTCACATTTGGTGGGTAATAAACCTTAGATTATTAGGTACTGCATTAGCTTATGTTATTGTAAGCAGGACTAGACCAATCCTGATGTTACTTCTTATCAAAGGGGACCAATATGTTTAGCTTTTGAAGTCCCTTTTAATTTTCTTATATACAAATTACTTACTTTAATGTAAAATGACATGCTGTCTTGTGAGTTTGATAGAGAACTCCAGCAATCCAAACGATTAACAGAAAATTAACAAGAAACAAAGGAATTTTATTGATGAAGAAGAACAAGAACAGTAATCGTAACAATAAACTGGCCGAAGCCCCTGATGAGCCGAAGCCCCCCAAAAGAAAGAGAATATAATCTCAGTCTTCCCAGTTCCAGACAATTAGTCTAAAAACAGCCTGCTCCCAATTTCTAACTGTAGTCTATTTATAGTAAGGAAGGCTAGCCCCCGGTAGTTATTAGCTCATAACAAACTAGACTAATAACAGACCCTATTTCTTTCTAAAATACACTTTATTAGAGTATTTATCTTCTTTTCTTCAGTTTAGTAAAGTCTCTATCAAATCTCCCCTCCTGAAAATCCAACTTGCCCTCAAGTTGGAAGGGTGGAATTTGTTGTCTGATGCCCTCAGGTTTCAATTCCATCTTCTGCTTCCTCTTCATCCTGATGCTTCGTCCTTCCCAATATCTCATTAATTTCTGATAGATGAGCTTCATTACTTGATCTTTCCAATTCACATATGTTACTGCAACATATATTGTCTCCGGTGAACTTTCATTCTCTTCAGTCTTCAGGTCTTCAATGGCTACAATTATTTTCATGCTTCCCTGAAGTATAACACTTACAACGGTAGCAGAATTTGTGTTTTTGTCTTGAACATCAGGATTCTCATCCTCTTTAATCTGCTCATCAAGAATTTTTGAACTACAAATTGCTTCCACTCCAGTTGACTTTCCTCCCATTGAATTATGATTGACAACCATGATGCTTTTCAGTAAAACAATGCCACCCTCTGCCACACTTTGAGTACTCCCCATATCATTCCACCATACAACTTCCATAGAAATTCCCCACCAAAAACTCTCTGCAACTGTACATTTCTCAATGGGAAAGTCCATTTTCACCTTGTGCCTTGAAACAGATAGTGGAAGACCCCAGGTTATTTTTAAAATGGCACAATCTTTGCTACTATGAAGCAACACATAAACCAAGCAACACTTTGCGGCTGAGAATACAAAGTCAGCTCCTGCATCAACAAGTACATCATCCCTACTTCTTTGGTTCCATCCTTCCTTGTCAGATGAAGGCAGTTCATATTTTTTAAAAGCACTCCAATCTTTGCAGCTATTCTTCAGGCTGGAGAAATCATGAAACATAGGATCCAAATTGATGTAGCCGCATCCTTTGAGAATTTTCCAAAAAGAAATTCTACGATCGGAAAAGAATAACCCTCCATTTCCCTCCGCAATCCTCTCCTTCCCTTGAGATATAGGATTTGACTTCCCAGTCTGGTATTTCTTGACTTGAATGTAGTCACCAATTGAATGGCTACGCTCAAGGGACAGCAGCATATTGGTTTCCAATTCTGAATTAACTACTTCGTACCTGGAAGTGTTATTACAAATGAAGAAACGAGTAATTGCTCCATCTTCCAGTCCAAGATTAACTGAAGATTTCTTCTTGCTTTCCTCTTTGCCATAAGTGTGTGTATCCTCCGTGGGCTGTAGTTGCTGATTGACCAACTTCTGCTGCGACTCTGGGGACTCAAATAGAGATTGCGAACTAAGGTTTTCTACTTGAGTCGAAGCCAGAGGACCGGAAGAAATCTCTTGCGACTGAGACAAACCTCTGTTCTTCGAATTTATACAGTGACGTACCGTCCTTGACCTTCCTCGCCGACGTTGTTTCAGCAGCTTGGGCTTCCCCTTCTCCATGTTTGAAGGCTTTTCTTTCTCCACTTTTTCGCTCTTCTTTATCTCCACTTTTTCGCTATTCTTTTTCTCCATTTTTTCGCTCTTCTTTTTATCCACTTTTTCGCTCTTCTTTTTCTCCACTTTTTCGCGCTTCTCTTTCTCCATCTTTTTGCACTTCTCTTTCTCCATTTTTTCGCGCTTCTCTTTCTCCACTTTTCCTCGCTCAACCTCTTCCGCGAGCTTCCCCAGTTTTCCGCGTGAATCCTCTCGCGAGTGCGAAACATCCTTATGCGACTTGGTGAGCGACTGAGATGGATGATTTCTAGGGTTCTCCGCTTGACGTGCGATGTTACCACTCTCTCCCTGATCGCAATTTCTTGCGTGTCCATGGTGCGATCTATGCGAATGACTCCTCGAGATTCTGACCTTCAATTCTGCGATGCTAGCTTGCATCGCCGCTTGCGTCACGGCCATATTAGCCGCTATATTCACCATCCTAGCTTGCATTTCACGTTGATTCCTCTCCACTTCAGTGAGTCGTCCCTCCATTTTCAGGCGTGGTTATCTCAGCGATCGACGGCTCTGATACCAATGATAGAGAACTCCAGCAATCCAAACGATTAACAGAAAATTAACAAGAAACAAAGGAATTTTATTGATGAAGAAGAACAAGAACAGTAATCGTAACAATAAACTGGCCGAAGCCCCTGATGAGCCGAAGCCCCCCAAAAGAAAGAGAATATAATCTCAGTCTTCCCAGTTCCAGACAATTAGTCTAAAAACAGCCTGCTCCCAATTTCTAACTGTAGTCTATTTATAGTAAGGAAGGCTAGCCCCCGGTAGTTATTAGCTCATAACAAACTAGACTAATAACAGACCCTATTTCTTTCTAAAATACACTTTATTAGAGTATTTATCTTCTTTTCTTCAGTTTAGTAAAGTCTCTATCAGAGTTTTAATGTTCTGACTGCTACACAATTACCTGAATGACAATTTCAAGCATGTTGTGTGTTCAAGCATCGTTAATACTAGGCTAGGTGTGCTTCAGTGCTTCATTTCTTGTTGTGGAGTTGTTGTTTCTTCTGATGCAGTCTTCATCTAATGCCGTACGATAATATACAAGATTGATAAATCATGCTTTTAATTGGACTTGAGGATTTTTAATCTGTCATTAGTACTCGTGTTCCTTTATCAAACTGTTACCCAACAACTTATTGCTAGATCAATTTGTAACACAGGAAGCAATTACATTGACTGTGAAGTCTTCATCTCATTTAGCCAAGGACTCCTTTTTTGCAAGGTATGCTGACCACGATGAAGAAACAAAGGTGCATAAACTGTTAGGAGGTGGAAAAGGTTGGTACTGTAATTTGTGAACCTTGTATTTGTTTGAATTGTGTAAACCTCCCGGGCTTGGTCAACTGGTTTGGTCCAGGAATAAAAAGTTATGTGAGGCCACTTTTATAACTTGAGACCTGTGGGATTATTCGGGCCAAAGATCCCAGACATTCGCATTGTAAAAAAATTAAGCATCTGTAATCTGGGACATTGTACACATGCCTGCTTCCAATTTGGGGTAATTCTTGAAGAATCAGGTTGAGTGGCATCATTTTAATGAATAGATATGGGATTGAACCCTTTGAGATCTTGAGGATGCATGTTGTTAGTATCTAAGTTATGTATGTTGTCATCTTGACACAACGAGTGGTTTGCAGACCCCTTGAAGAAGTTTTAAAGCCTGTGTTCATTAGGCTACTTGAAGAAGTTTTAAACTTGAATTATAATTTTAAGAACTAATTCAACTTTTGGTCTCACAAATACCTAATTCTCATCCCCAAATTTCATTTTTTCACTTTTGGTCTCATGACATGAATATAAATCTCTTGTCACTTACGCTCCTTCTGACCACTTATATCTGGTCAATTTCTGTACAATTTAAGGTTGATTTTCACCAGAAAAGTAGTAAAAGGATCATAAGTGACAAAATATCTATAATGGTGGAACTAAAACTAGATTTAGTCTTAATTCTAATGACTGTAAAACTAATTCCTTTAGTTATTATATGGATAAAACTTTTTAGCAGGCTGGTTACTTTCAAAATTTGTCATACATTATGCTTGGGTGGGGCAAAAGGTTTTCTACTTTTCTTTTTCCTATTTTTTTGTTTTCAGGAAAGTCTTGTTCAAGTATTACAAATTATTGATCTCATGATATAATTTATTTTCCCTAATTCCTTAGCTTTGGTCTTCTTGGTTCTTAGGTGCCATGTGTAGATCACAAATGTGTAATTTCAAAGGCCAGTCCACTTGTATTATACTCGGCCGACTTGTTACTGATCTGCAATTTGATCCATATTGAATTTGTATTTTCTATAATGAACATATTTTTGTCTTAAACTTTCTTTACTTAACTGTGCCATTCACCACCTTTAATTGTTGGCTTCTGCATGAAATTAGTAGAAGGTTATAATGCTCTAATCATTCTCCATTTTACCTGAGACTCTAAATGTAATACTAGTGTTTCTTTTGCGATGAGAGTAACTCTATATTCCTGTGCTACAGTTGCAGAAGTTTTACTTTGGAGAGATGAGAAGGTGTCGTTTGCTCATTTTCTGTTATGTTTTGTGATCTACTACTGGTTTTTCCTGTCTGGGAGAACTTTTGTTTCATCTCTTGCCATTCTTTGGCTGCTAATTGCTGCTATGCTTTGTGGGTACAGCATGTTGCCACCAGTTGTGTAAGTATTGGTGTGAAAGTTTATTTGTACTTATGATGTACTTTTGGTGCAATACTTTTGTCTGATTTGGGATTATACTGCCTCTTAAAGTATAGTGTTATTTACTTATGTGGCCAACCATCCTAGTGATTATCCCAACTAAAAAAGAGTAGCAGTTCTTGTAGGGAATCGGCACTTGATTTTTGCATCTTATACATGTTTCTCTTGTTGAGGCATTTTGTGAAATGCTATATTTGTGATATCATGTTAACGTTGCAAGTTTGCAACAGATATGGGGTCACTGTTCCAAGAATATCATGGTCTTGTTTTGAGATTTCTGAAGTGGATATGAGAAACTGTGTTTCAACAATAGGCAATATGTGGAATCGAATGAATCATGGAACAAGGTTGCTGGCTCAAGGAGAAGACTGGTGTACTTTTCTTAAGGTACACTACTTCCAATAGAAAGTCATTATTTAAACTTATTCAAAGAAAGACCTAGTTTTTTAGGGATAATAATTCCTGAAATAATCAAATAGTTCTTCATCTTGTGTTTGTTTTATTTCTGTTCTTTTGTTGGGATGTGGGGAAGTTCTCCTTTCCCGTGAGTGCAACTTAGTCCCATTTCAGTCACCCTATACCTAGTAGTGCTGTGAATGCATCTTAGTATTTTATTTTAGTCCTTAGATTTTAAAGTTGAAGATGTGTTATTATAAACTAATATCTAATCAACTAAATTCCAATTTCTGTTATCCAATAAAATTGATTTTTATTTTCTTTTCAATTTGTCACTCTCAGTCCAAAACATCCAAAACGCTTTCGCTTCCAGTCGAAAACATCCCAATCTTATACTAAATGCGGATAGTGGAATATTTTGAAAGACAAAAGCACAATATAATAAACTGAAGTCATGTACAAATTGTTGAAAAGCCACCAAGGTTGATTGACCAAAAGTGGAATTTACATATATCAAAATTTGATTCTTGTAGGATGCCACATTTGGCAAGCAGTGAGAATTTAAATCCAGCTATAATGAATAACAACTGAAACAGAATATGGAGTCGATTTTCTGGTGACATTAATACATTATTTTATTTCTGATGAAGGTGGCAGGGTGTCTGTACTGTTTAAGGCTGATTGCTTCACTTACATTGGCCGGTTCCCTTGCCACAGGTATATTTGATGTTTGGGGCAATGGTTTTGTGAAAATATTCTATTGTGTTATGTTCTTCAATTAATGGGAATTGCTCTCTGTACAAATGCTTGCAGCCCTAGTTGCGGCGTTCTCAGTTTTCTTCATTTATGAGCAATATGAGACTGAAGTTGATGCAATGTGCCATGTCTTGTTCAGCTATGGGATGAGTGGCCTTTCATTTTTGTCGCAGAACTTGCCAATGCCCTTGGGGTCCATACTCTCAATCTTCGAAGCGTCTATCAAGAGAAGTGGGTGACTGATTCTGTTGTCTGACTGTATATAAGTGATTTTCTTTTATAGTTTTTAAACAAAACACTATTACTACCCTTAGTAGTAAGAGAAAAGTAGGGAGAAACCAGAATGAGAGAGGTCGATTGCTCCATCTGCTTCTACTCTTTTTCCATAGAAGCCAAAAAGGCTATGAGAGAATTGATTAAAAACGTTTTACCTAGCCAATCTCTGAACTGGTAAAAGTAGTGACCAAAGTTTTGATAGAATCACATATTACTAATAAATCATAAAGTTTTTCGGTTTTGAGGGTTCTGATGTGTATTTCTGTATGTTCTTTCAACCTAATGCAAATTTTAGATGCTTAGAACTTAGAAGTAGCTGTTTGTATCTGGTGATGCCGCATGGGTTGCTGAATGTAGACGTACATTTGTAAGATAAAACAATGCCCTGATCAACTACCTCTATTCATTCTTCAAAAAAACTGTCAAATTAGCCTCGAAGCATATCAAAAAAATCAATTAAACCCCCAAACTAAATAAATACTCAATTAAACTCATGAATTATAGGAAAATGTTCAAAATTATAATTTAACAGGTTTTTTTCAAGTTAGCCGGTCACTTGATACACGTGGATGTACAAGTGTCAATTTTACAATTTTTATTTTTATTTTTTCCCTTCTCTCTCGAGTCTCGACCTCCCCTTCTTTCTTCTGCGGTCTGCCCCAGCCCCTCCTACCCAGCTACCTCTCCCGTTCATTCTTCTTCTTCAGCAAACCCCATGCTCCCTTTCTCAAATCCTCCTCCTCCTCATCCATATCCACCTACCCTCTCAGTCCACACATTTGTTCACCGCCTCAAACCTAAAGCCACTTCCAGTCCATGTCCTACCCATCTTTATAGCACTGCAGCTTTGGGAGATGGCCATGTTCTTCCTCTTCAAAGTTCAAACCCAACACAAGTGGGTAATGGGGAATGGGGCATTGGGGCATGCTGACCCGTCAATATTCAACCCGCTTATTCTTAATGCCACCTAGTTGGTAACTGTTGTCAAGGAAAATGGGGTTTCAACAACGACGCGAGGCGGCAGCCAAGGTCGACGGCATGTAGGAAGAAGAAAGAAGAGTGTGGACTGTGTTTTTCAAAATGAGGTTCGAAATTTCAAAATAGGACTACTATGTTTTTCTTCTCTAAATAGAAGTTTTTACTGTCATGTATGAAAAATACTAGCATGATTGAAAAATATTGTCATTAATTATAATAAATATTGTCATGTTAAATGCATTGTACTGCAACTATTTGATAGTCACGCCTACAAGATGACAGTAAATACTGTCATGTTAGTCCTATTTCGGAAATAAAAACATGATAGTTCTATTTTAGAATTCCAAACTCCATTTACTCTTATTTTGGGAAATCCTCCAAAAGAAAATGGGGAGAAGAGAAAAAACAAAGAAAACGGAAAAGAAAGAGAGAAAATGCAAAAAATGAAAATAAAATAAAATATTCCAGATAAGCATGGTAACTACGAAACTTGAATGCCACCCGCTAGATTACAAATTTGAACGTTTTTGTATAGTTTACAGGTTTAATTGAATGTTTATTTAGTTTGGGGGCTTATTTGACTTTTCTGATATAGTTCGAGGGTGGATTTGACAGTTTTCCCAACTTTTATTTGCTTTGGTATTCTCCACTATTCTAAAAACGCTCTAGGCGTCCGACTAGTCCCCGTTAGGCTAGGCAGTGGCTAGGCGCTCCGACTAATTGAATTCGCGTCTAAGTGAATTAGTAGGCTATTTAGGGCGTGTAGTTGCCCGCCCAGAGCGTTTAATCGACCACCTAAGCATCTAGATTCATCGAACATTTTTTTTTTCTTTTTTATTTTAGTATTCTAAGAGATATATGTACTTTTAACTTTAACAACGCCAATGAAGAAAACTACTAGTTGTATGTTAAGATAAAAACTTCACATATTTACATATAATCTTAAGTGTTATTATTATTTAATAATATTTATTATATAATGATGTTAAGTGAGTGAGTATTATATATTATTAAATGTGACAACTCTATATATCATTGATGCATGTTAATGTGCGTGTGTTTGTTATAGAAAGAATGGCAACAATATAACTCATGGGCTTTAAGTGGACAAAAATATGAGTAGAATTGATTTTGACAAAAAAGTGATAAGGAGTAATTTTTACGGAGTATCTCAAACGGCTTCAGGCCAGCGCACATCTCATCTTCTCCAGCGCCATCTTCTCCCTCTCCTGCGTCTCTTCTTCTTTCCCTGCAATCTTCTCCCTCTCCCATCACCATTACATGCCACCTCCGCCATCTCTTACACCCGTCGCCACTGAAACCTTGCTCTACCATCGTTGCCGCCCCTTTGTCCCTCTGATTTTCTATCGATGTGTCTCATCGTCTCCGTCAACCCAAAATCGCAATCGCCGCTGCCTCTGTCCGATTCAGTCCGCCTGCTCCCTTCCGACCGTGGCCGGCGTCGCCACAGGTTCCGTTCTATTTCTTCTCATTTTTCGATGCGCGGCTGTAATGCCTCTCCACCGCCATATCTCATCTTCTCCTTCACATCTTTGAATGAAATCGACCAGGGGCGAAGATCTATCCTCGATGGCCATTGCCGATGATGGTTCGGTCATCCTGGAGCACCACCGCTGATGGATACGCTGCTGGATACACCGCAAGTAATGGGTCTAGAGTTACACACGCAAAAGGCGGCAGCTTGGGTTACATGATGTGGCGGTAGGTGGTGGAGTCTAGGGGTGAGGAGCGATGGGCTGACGGTTAGGATTACATGTTCGGTGGTGGGCTGGTCGTGACAGAGCAAAGGCACTCCTCGGTAAAGCGTGACTGGTGCTATGTAACACCCCCATTTTTCCCGCCCAAAATAATACTTGAAATAATAATATATTGATAACAATCTTGATTTATTCCTTAAAAATAGATATAGTTTTGCAGCGGAAATAACAGTAATGGAAAAAAAGTGTGTTACCGCCACACCCAGCCCTCAACTTGGCTGGATGTTAAGGCTATCCACCATGAGTTCAACCGAATTAAAAACTTGAATTCAAAATCTACTAGCATTATTTAATCTAAGTGAAGACTACACTAAATTCTTCTAAAGCGCTCTCCAGGTTCATCAAACATCATGAGCTTCGTATTCATCATTACCTGCACAAATAAAGTGCAGAAAACGAAACAAAGAAAAGGAAACAAAAATTAGCTTTAGAGCTAAGTAAGTACTACCCAACCCCGTAAAATAATCAGGTTTGGTGAAAATAGATTTTTCATATAATACTATATAAAAATACTCACACCACCGAAATTCTTTTTTAATCGAAAACATCATTTATCAACTTTATAATCTCAAATACCCGTATAATAAAAAAATAATATTTATAAGCTCCCAACAATTAATTAATATCTCAAAAGAAGTATCACTTTTCAAAAATAACTTTTGTAGCTAAAAATATCACCATTCCGAAATCAATGTCACTTTCAGATTCTTTTAAGATGGGCGAAACTCAAGATTCCTCGAGCCCAATGAATCGTTGTTGCGTAAGACTCATCCCGGAATTCCGGCTCCCACCGACCACCAATTGGAAACTGAACTTCACCCTTAAGTGTGCACACCCCCTAAAAGGGATTCCAAGCCCTCCGAGTAGTAAGAAGTCCAAGTAGTTCGGACAACGTCCCCCTACCTCATAATGGGTTAGAAACCCGGGTAATTAGAAACTACTACCGCGGCCACCAAAGAACTTTTAAAGTTCTCAAAAGAAATACCGGGAATCTCCCGCCACCAATATTTACCGGGATTTCTCCCGCCACCAATAATCATCATAAACCTAAACTAAACCCGCGGTATATAGCTCTAACCACCCACACCTCGTGTTTCTCTCGAGATGTCAATAATTATTGAAAAACATTATTCCTTGAAAAATCATCTTTCTATATAGTCCTACAGAATATCTATTTAATAGATACGTCCACCAAAAATTCACATTCATAAATACTCCAAAATTCTTTTACATAAAAATTCACTCCAAAGTCATACTAGGGATTAAATCCCAAAATATATCTCCAATATTTCACAAATTCTTAGTCGCCTAAAACAGTACACATTTAAAATTCACACTTAATCACGTAATGCATAATAAGCATATAATACGAGGAAATGATTTTGGATTGACAGAGAAACTTACCTTAAGTCCTGATGCTCCTAGTTATCCTCCTCTAATCCGGTCTCTAGATAATCACCTTTTTAATTAAGATGATATAATTAGTCATTAATTCAATAATTTTAGCCGATTTTCTCCTTTTTATTCTTTTATTCGAATTTATTAATTTAATTAATTAATTATTCGAGTTAATCACTTTTTATTAATCAAATACCTTATTAATTTCGTCATTAATTACAATATTTTAATTCTAAACCTAAATAAAATATCCGACTATAATTAACTACAACATCCATTTTTTAATTTAATAATCACCATTAATTTACTTTACTCATAAAATATTATTTTATTACTTTACTTAACCCATTAATTTATGAGTTCAAATATTTTAAATATTTATATGAAGTCCGAATCTCTAATAATAAATCATAAAAATTATTAATTGAATTAGTCCACTAATTACATAACTAAGTTATTTATTAAGTCTATATATAATCAATTATTTATGCTAGCTAACCCAACCTTATTTAATTTTCCTTACTTTATTCCAACATTATTTTTAGTCCAGAATATTATTTTCAAACTCAGTGATTTATTTATTTTACCATTAATATTAATATTTCCTTATTTAATTACTTAACTAGTTTTATATGGCCCAATTAAATAAAATAGATTAAGAATCGACTTTATAAATTAATAACCGTCTATAACTATAATTTGGGTCTATATTTGACCTAGGTTGTCCAGATATCTATTTTATAATTATTTTCCATAATTATTCATTTAATTTTATATATCTATTAACCGGTTCAATTACAATTAAATATACTAAATCTTAATTTTTATTAATTATAAATGGTCCATAAGGTCCTAGTTAGTCATATATTTATCCTAGTTTACTCCAATATTTATTTCATAATTATTTTCGTTATTTAGTTAATTATTTACTAAATGTGTATAAATTGGCCCAATTACAATTAAATCAATTAAAAATAGTTAAAAATGTTATTTTTCAATTCTGGTTGGTCCGAATATGAATATTTATACTAGGTATTTAATTTATATTTTTCCAGATTTTATTTATTTGATTTACTATTTTATTTTTAATTTTTATTAAAACTGGGCCGAACTGGCCCATTAAACCGACCCGGCCCAAGAGTTCTGACCCAGACAATTGGGTCATCTTCTCCAGG